CTGTGCTGTTGTCCAAGCAGAGCCTCGTGACCCAGCCTGGATGGGGGCTCAAGCATGGCAGACAACCCTCTTCCTTGTGCTCCTCATGGCCCAATGCTCAGGGGAGCAGCAGTCTCAGGGCAGAAGCAGAGGGACAGAGAGTGCAATGTGTGTTTTTGGGAACAGGCTGGTGTGCAGGGCTCGAACCAGTGGTTTTTTTTTTTTTTAAGAGAGGTAACTGGGCTTATTTGGGAGGGTACACTGCTTTCCTGTTATCTTCTGATTTAAATCATATTTATGTTTTTCCACTACAAGGTCTTTCCCACTGGTCTTGATTTCTATCCCAGTGCAGTGGACTGCAGTGTTTTGAGCTCAGAGCTGCTGCTGGGTGTGCTTGGGGTGCTGCAGCAGCAGGCCTGTGGGAGAAGGCAGCTCACCCCAACCTGCCTACACTGCTATTGTGCAAGAGGTTGGAGGAACCTGAGGAGCATCTGCCTGCCCTAGGCAAACAGCAGTTGCATGTGTGCCAGGGAATGGGATGGCTTTGGCAGCACTGCATGTTTTTTCCTGCAGAAATGGGTTGATTTTGTTGCTGTACTGGCAGCATTTCTTTGTACTTAGATATTGGCTTTCCCCGTGGAGGAACTTGTGGTTTCTAAGACTCTAATTACTTTAGTGTAATAGTTTTTCCTCTGCTTTCATAATGACTTTGGTGGGTGCCATCTGCTGTTGTGACAGCACTGGGCAGTGTGAGGCTGAGCCCTGGATGCTGGGAGGTGTGTGCTTTAACCAAGCTTGTCAGAAAAACTAAGACTTTGAAATCTGATTTTCAGGGCTTAACACTTTACCTCCAGCCCTGATGGGACACGGGGCACTAGGGTGGGCCAAAGGGTGAAAATTACTTGTGATGGTTCCCTCCTTATTCCCCAGTTCTGTTTGCAGGGGCATGGGCATGCCTGGCCCCACTGGGCAGCCAGCACGGATCGGGAGGGATGGAGGAGTCTGTTCCCTCAATGGCAGGCAGGGGACAGGTCACATCCTTTTGTGAGCAGCTGCTTTCCTTGCAAACAGCTTGACCTGCATCTTTTGGCCTTACTTTAGAGACATTGCTGTGGTTCCTGTCATGGCCTGTGACAGCCTGGCTGCATTGTGCTGGGTGCGAGCACAGCTAGCATAACCCATGCTGCAGGTGATGGAGGGCTGCTGTGTGATGGAACCGGGAAATCACGCAGCTTGGGTAAGGGGAGCTCTGGGGACTGCTTTTCTAACAGCTCTGAAGGAGAAATGCCTGTCTGTGGGTGCTGCAAAGCCCATCTGGGTGACAGCTCGCTGCAGCCCTGCAGGCACGCATCACTCGCCTCCTGGAGCTCCCTGGGTCATTGGCCACGTGTCCTGGGATTCAGCACGGCCTCACAAGACACAGATCACAGTGCCAGCCTGCACAACACATTTTGTCCAATATCACTAAATGCACAAGAGTGGAAGGGCTGTAGTGAGTTATTTTAAGGAGCTTTTTCATATTTGTGGTGGACAGTGCTGTATGGGTTTTGAAGCCTCTCATGTGAGGGTGTGGGATCCTTTTCAGTCCTTACCCTTTAATTGTCATTGAATCCCAGGGGGGTCACTGCCAGGACTTTGTCTTGCTGGTCATCAGAGATGTCAAAGCTAGAGAAGAAATATTATCAAAACCCCAACTTTTGAAAAGAGCAACTTTAGAAAGAGAGTCCCAGTTTTAGGACCATGTTGCAAAATAAAAAGAACTAAAAATGTTTTGTAATCGGAAGGCCTGAGTTCTGTGTACCCAAAGCCACTGTTTAATGCCATAGTGATGTGAAAGGCTTTTAAAAGGAATCTCATTTACTGTTACAGCTGCTGCCAGGACAAGGTGAGACAGGGAGTTGGTGTAAGCAGTGCTCAGGCTTGTGGCACTGCTTTAACCAGCTTATGCTGCTGAGTTTTGCTGCGATTGCTGCAGTGATTAGCAGCGAGAAAGGTAAATCGGACAGGTCGGCAGAGAGCCGGACAGGTCGGCAGAGAGCCGTACGCCTGGTCTGTAGGGTCCTGCCTGGTCTTGTGGGCGATTGAGCTTTGAGGATGCCTGGCCCCAGACCTGCAAATAGGAGAGCAACTCACGAATGTCCTGCTAATTCACATTAATTTGCAAAGCTCGGCAAATTTTCAGAAGCACATAGTGTTACCCTGAAATAAGACCAGTGTTTCAGATGATTAACCAAATTCAATTAAGCATTTAAAGAGCATGAGACTAATCAAGAGAAAATGGGTTCCTTTTTTCCGTCTACCTGTTGGGTTTTTGAGACTCCTATTTTTCAGATGTTCTCTTTCTTTTTTGTGAGATTCCAGTGCAGCTCAGGTCCTGGATACAGGAGCAAGAGGCGCTCCATGTGCAGTGGGGCTGGCAGCGCGCAGCACTGGGGCTGGCAGAATTCGCCACCCCATGCCCCAAATCCGCCATGACCAGAGGAGCAGGCAGCAGCCTCTGGATGCTCTGGCACCCAGTGTGGGCTCTCTGCCAAGTGACCTTTGTCTTTCCTGCCGGTAATTTGGTGGGCTTCTCCTGCAATAGCTGCAGTGCTTCTGCTGGTGCTAACACGTCATTGAGGCTTGTGAGGTTTCTTTCAGGACTGTACAAGCAGTGAAGCAAAGCTTCCAGAGAGCGATTAAGAGGGAACTGCTTCAGATATCTGAGCTAATCCATACTGGACTCCTGCAGCATGGAGAAGAGACATTTTGAATGCAAAACTGTCTGGGGCAGGAGGTATATTTTCCCCAGCCAAGAGTAAGAGCTTCATAGTGGACAGCCAGAAGCACAGCAGAGCAGGTGCTCGGCGGAAGGCTGTGCAGAAATCACTCTGCCCAGAGGTTTGCATGGGACCCAAGTGTTGCTTACATTAGTAAAATGGGCCTTAATTGCACATAGGCTCTGTGCATCTCCATCAGAGAGATGCTGGGATGTCATTCTGCTGCTGGGATGCAGTCCTGGGAAGTACGGCGTGAAAGGTACCTGCCTTGCATTTCTGAAGTGCTGTGGGGAAAAGCTTTCATCTCAGTTTTGCTTTCTGAATGTGTTAAAAGCTCACCAGTTGTGCACCTGCGACAGAGGAATGGCCTCTGCACAGTAGTGGGGCTGGTCCTTCAGTGAGAGAAGCCAGAGGCAGCCTAAGAGAGGTAACAACTTTTGCTGCTCCAGCCCGATGGAATATACAGACCCTGGATTTTTATTCTCTTTTTATCATGTACCAGAGTATGGCAAAAAAGGAAACATTTTTTTTCAATTATTTTTTTTTTAAAGGTGCTGGTGTGTGAGAAGATATCACCATACAAAGATTTTCTGCAACATTTCAGAAAAATAGTGAAACAAGATTAAAATACAACCTTTCCAAATAGCACTTGCCTGGAGTCGTTACCCCCTCACATGACAGCTGCCTCCCCGAGGTCCCAGCACCAACCCCACTTCAACACAGGGATGCTCAGTTGTCATTTAAGCAAAACCCTGGCTCAGGTTAGCTGTGAAGGGCTTGAAAACATTACTTAATGCATTCCAGAGACTCAGGAGCCAAAGGCACAGGGCAGAAACCCTTTGGCTATGATTGGTTTTGGAAGAGCAAGATTGATTTCTTGGCTTATCTCACACGTCATAGGCAGTATTGGGCTGTTTGGACACTTGGTGGTGCAGCAGTTTACCCGATGGTGTTATATGGTGCTGAGCTTTTGGTCCTCATTTTGGACTAATTTTCTCATACTGTCAGAGACCTTGTACTGGTCTCATTTTTAACTTTGGGAGCCTGCTATCTGAATAGTTCATCCTGGCAAAACCATTCAGCTGGGGGGTAAAGTTTGCTGCTGATGGGGAAGCATCCGACATTCCTCTTCTGAGGGTGGAGAGCCCAAACGCCATCCTGCAAGGGTGTTATTGCCAGAGGCACGTGCCATCCAGGCATCACAAGGCTGATGGAAGTGTTTTGTAAATGCTGTCTGTGGCATGGCCAGGCATCAACAGCCTTTTGGTCAAGAATCAAAACAAGGCAAAGTCGATATATCTGAATTTGCTTCCCCTTGTGTTATGACCGTTCATACACAGAGTCATGGGTTTGCTTTTGGTACAAAGTTTAATTTTCACAACTGCAGTGCTAAGTGCCTGACTCTGGCTCATGAAATCTGAAGTCTAAGACTGGGCAGCTGAGATGACAATTTCCTACTTCAGAAGTTTGTGTTTTTCTCACATAAAATTTTTTAAGTTCTGTTTTCTGGGCTTGTAACATGGACAAAGTGCTGCAATAGCCAACAAAATGGTGTCTCCTAATAGTTTTTACTCCTGACTTCAGGGATTTTGGAGAAGTTGATCTTGCTTCCCAGAAATGTAAGTCACAGCAAAACCAGGCCCCAGATTTTTCCAGCCTTTGGCTATGGCTGAGGTGTGATTTATGGAGAGGGCTTTCCTGCTTTTCCAGAGGGATGCCACTCTTCCTTCCACAGGGTGGGATTCCTGCTCTGGAGGCCATAGCAACTGGCTTGTTCTCATCTTGCCAGAGGCACATTTCCAGGTAGAGCACAACTCTCATCAGCTCCTCTAGCAAAACCAGCTCCGAGTTGAATGGAACTAGTGTGGGAGGCCGTATTTCTTCTGAGCTGTATGGATGAGCTGCTCATATGTGAAGATGCTGAAGCTTGCAGCTGTTAAAGCTGTGGCCTGTCCAGGAGGATTTCTTGCTCCATTAAGAAATGAGAGACTGTGCTTGGACCAGAGCAGCACAGTGCTTTGTTTCTTCCTGTAGCTTGTTACCAGGCACAAATAACTTAACCCCTCATTTCCCTCACTGCAAAACATGCACATCAATGGTTACCTGCATCACATGAGTATCAGATTGCTGAATTAACAAGCAGTCCATTGGGAACACAGTTTGAAATTGTCAGGCTAAATTAAGCACAAGATGTTAGTTACGGGTTATTTTATATTTTTTTATATATATGTAAATTTTTTTCATCTTCTGTTTTTCCTGCAGGAAAAAACCAAAGTGGTTGAACCCTTGGACTATGAGAACGTGATCCTTCAACGCAAAGTTCAGATCTACAGTGATCCCCTCCGGGACCTGCTGATATTTCCGATCGAAGATGTATCTGTGAGTTTGCACTGGCCGTTTTTCATGTTTTGAGGCTCACTCAACTCCAGTCCTGCTTACCTTGGAAAATTTCCACTGTTAACCACATGTTAATTTTGGCGGCATTACTGACACACAAAACCAAAATGATCCACTGGCGATTTGGGCCCACCACATTTATTTAAAGCAAGTATCAAGCCGTGAAGACCCAGTTTGCACTGAAAACATGTTCTCCTTTTTCTTGCAGATCTCAGTCATCGGTCGACAGAGGAGGACTGTCCAGTCAACTGTGCCAGAAGACGCTCTAAAGAAAGCTCATAGTCTCTTTGTCAAAGAGGTAGGGGGGGCAAAAGTCCACGCAACACCTGCCTTCAGCACTTTCTCCCTTAGGCAAGATGCTCTGCTGTAGCTCTGGTCTGAGAGATTGCAGATCACTTAGCTTTTCCTGTGTGGGAAGCACCAGTCACTGACAGGCTGGCCACACGAGATAGTTCTCGCACGTGCCTCTTGTGCAGTGTTTCTTTCCAGTAGGTTTTGTACGCAGACAAGGCGTGTGGCTTTGCATGTGCTGCAAGGTGTGGGCATGCAGCAGGGCAAGGGCTGGACTACACAGCCTCCCTGGAGCAACCTGAGTGCCACGAGTTTGTTCTGTAGCATGCTGCTCTCTAGGACCGTTCCCTCCAAGTGCAGGGGAACTAAATCCCAGGCAATGGTCGATGTCAAGTTAGAAGCACTACATTTCTGAGGGCAGAAAATTGGTGCTTTCAGGAAAACAGTCCCCTCCCAAATCACTACTCCTTTTTTAAAGCCTTGGAGCAAAGTAAATACAAAATCAGTAGCTGTGTGGCAGGCCAGATGCTGTGGGATTTTGTCTCTGCTGAAAAGGTTCCTTATGAAATTCTCTGTTGCAACACAAAACAAGAGAAGCAGCTTGTTCAGACCCTTTCCACTTACACTTATCTCACCCAGCAGTCTGTAACCTTTCAGACTTGTGCATGGTTTTGTTTTGCTTCGTGTAGCTCTCAAAGAGCTGTATTGTTTTCCTTTCAGTGCATTAAAACCTACAGCTCAGACTGGCACATGGTAAACTACAAGTATGAGGAATACTCAGGAGACTTTCGGATGTTGCCATGGTAAGTGTCGCACTCCCTTGGAATACTAATGCATGGTCACAGGTTTGATCAGGCTTAGCAGAAACAGTCTGTCGTTTTTCCTGATGCCTGTCCCACAAGCAGCCTGTGCTCCAGAAGGATGTCACTGAAGGTTAGAGAGCCAGAGTGGTATCATGCCATTGTCACTCAGCTGTGTCAGTGAGATGCTGGCAATATTGCCAGCATGGGTTGTTACCTCACGTCCTATCCACCGGCGTGCAAACAGCCCCCTGCATCTAGGATGAGGATGGACTACAGTCTGGGCACGCAGCGGGATAAACAGCATTGGCAGTGTCTGCTTGTCCCGAATTGGGAGCCTTGTTGTCCCCCTTGGCTGATGTTCTCTTTGTGCTAGACACAGTGTTCCTATGCTGAGCAGATCCTCTTTGTGCCCCTTGTCACTGAGATGTTGTTTTACAGCTTCAATCCGGTCATGTAGTGTCGCTATTAATGCTGGCAGTGCTGGAGAGTTATGTGCTCTGAAATGCTGGGCTGTGCCAGTGATTCCAGCCCCAAAGCTAATCGGGTTTTTCAGACCAGTGTATACATCTTGGATTTCTGCTGGATTGTTATTTTCTCAGTGGTGACAACTGCTCTGCTCTCGCTCCCCGTGCTCTGTCCGTGTTCAGGCTGGTTGTGTGCTGGCAGCTTGTTAAATGGTTTTTCTTGTTAATTGGCTGAAGTGGGTCTGTTCTGAGGATCTCACAGGGATGTGAAGCAGCAGTGGGGCAACACTGTTGATCAAATTGTATTAAAATTTGTGAATAATCTTGCAGTCTGGTCTTGCTTCTTTTTTAGCAAGATGGAAGATAGACTGGCCTGCCGCATCTCTGTGTTGCATAAATGAAAGTCAGCAAAAGCACTGCAGAATCAGACAGCTAACAAAGAGAAAGCTAATTACATACTGCTTATGCTTAATTTCTGTGAAATGCACTCAGAAGTTAGCTTTCTCCAGGTGTAAGGGGCTGTAGGTCTCTTGAAATCTATCTTCTGCAGGAGGACAGTTCTGCTGTGCTCTGTAGTCTGCAGTTTGGCTATTGGTTCTGGATCCAGCATCTGCTTGCTGGCTTGGGGGACCCTCATTTCCCAGTCATTGAAAACGAAAATGTGTTGTGATTTCAGCAAATCCTTTAGGCCAGACAAGATTCCAAGCCATGTGTTTGAAATTGATGAAGACTTTGAAAAGGACGAGGTAAGGAGACAAGGTGTTTTTTTTATATATTCTGCTGAAAAGTCTGTTAAAAAGCAGATTTTGCAAGGCAAAGTCAGAATTCAGTTCCCAGCAATGGTATTCTGGTGAAATACTTCATACTGTAAAAATGGTACCCGAGACAGTGATTGAATTATTTCAAAGTATGACAAGATAATCTCTTGTAGCCAAGGGTCTCCTAAATTATCTGGAAGATTAACTGTGATATTTCTCATGGCTTTTTCACTTGAAATGTTGTAGCAGCAGAAGAGAAAAAAAAAGGCAGCAAACAATTCCTAAGTAAAATTCTTCATGTCCAGAATTGAAAGTGGGCAATTTGGTTTTCAATTACACTGCAATATCAGGGTCTTCCTCTTAAAAAGTTTTGTGCTCTATCAGATAAACTGCAATTCTTAGTCAGTCATTTCTACCAACATATTCGCAGTGTGTCAGTCCCATTCCATATATGCTGTGCAAATGTTCAGAGGCGTTCACTTCCTCTGGATGTTGGGATGTTTGCTCTCACCTGGTTGCCGGGAAGATTTGCGATCCTGGAGCTCTTGTACAGGGATGAGCTGGGGGCTCTGACAATTGGGACATCTCAAACCTGGTGGTCATTTTGCACAATGCAGATGTCACGTTTCCCTGTGCATGTCGTGTTTGCTACGAAAGGGAGGGGTAGCATTTTTATGTCTCAAGTACCATGTGAAGCTTAATTCACGCACATGACATAAAGAAGTTTTAGTTTATGTTAGGAAGAGTTTAGCGCAGCTGTTCAAAATCCACATGGCACCAAGGTACTGCTGCTGAGGAAATTACAGAGGAAAAGGGAAGTTTCGTTCTTGCAGAGGTGAAGATTTGAAGGGGCTGTTTCTCCCAATTGCCGAGTATGTCCCAGCATGCCTCAGTCTGGACTGGGATGGCTTTTTCCTAAATGGAAACGTATTTTCAAGTCTGGCCTTAATTTTTTTTGGCTGTGTCATCAGTTTGCATTACATCATTAACTTGGGCTGTTACCTCTTGAATGGTACCTAATTTGGGCTGGAGACAGAGCTGTGCAGTATGTTATCAGCATGCCTCTGAAAAAAGTGGACAAAAATACGCTATCAAAATTTGATGGAGACCTTTTTTCTTCTGGTCATTATCCCACATACTCAAAAATGAAGTTACTGATGTTGGTTGTGGAAGAGTATTCCCAGTGCTTTGGCAGATATTTTGACATTTATCTCTTTTGGCATGGCCATATTGAAAAGGTTCTGTTACAGTTTCCTGATGGAGCATTTACATTGGAATTACGTAATGGAAATTCAAGTAAAAGAAGTCTCTTGATGAACCAACATCACCTTTACAAAGGTGAACCATTGTAAAGAAGAAATAATGCATTGTTTTACCCAAGGAAATAAAGCATTAGACAATTTACTTTGACATTGGAAGTTTGGCAAGAAAAGAGTGAAAACCTGCCATTTGGGATGCCAGAAATTATATAAACCAGTCCCTTCGTAGCTCATCGGCAGACAGTCCAGATACACCTCTGCTGCTGAGTCACTGGAAGTCCCAGGGCGAGTTTTTTTCACCAGTCTGGGATCTCATTTCCCTCCCTCTCCAGTGGAGGTCACAGTTAAGTATGGATGGAGGGCCATTCTCCCTTTCTGGGACTACGGGACAGGAGGAGAGATGGAAATCCTGGCTGGTTGGGTCACTTGAAACTGTTTTGATAAATGTGAAACCAGTCTGTTATATTTCAGCTGTTGGAGTTTGGTGGGTTTTGCCTAAATTTAAAATGGAGAGAGAGTTTATACGAAAGGAAATGACAAAACAAGTCTGGAGTTCTGCATTTTGCAGCTTTCTAAACAGACTGTTTTGAAAATTTCCTTCTTCCCTAGGTTTTTGAAATACTGCGTAAGAACCAACATACATTTGCTCATTGCAAAATAGTTGTCCAGCTCTATCAGCATAGATGTAATCTTTCTTGTTTAAACATGACCCAAGCCAGCCTATTTTGCCTTGTTCTTGGAAGAGATTTCCCTGAATTTTTTTGTGATCACACTGTAAGTGTAGCTGTACATGTAACACGTACATTTTACATGTTACTGTACTGCTGTAGTTAAAACTGTATTACTTTCCAGGGTGGACATAATCCCTTGTGTCCAAGGGGAATTTTGCATGGGAGGCAGTTCACCTGACCTCCTCTTTTTCTCATCTTTTGCTCTCTTTCAGGATTCCTCATCCCTGTGCTCCCAGAAGGGAGGTGTGATAAAGCAAGGCTGGCTGCACAAAGCAAACGTAAATAGCACAATCACTGTTACCATGAAGGTGAGTTTGATCCAGTGTTGTTAACCATGAACAAGGAACAAGGTTAAGATCAGACTGCATCTCTAAAGCTAGCAGGATGGGTTTGGGTTTGGATGGGCATCCATCCAACTTGTAGACTATCTCAAGGTGAACTGGAAAACCCAGTCTGGTAACAGCTTTTGACCCTTCCATTCCCAGAATATAAGGCCAATGCACTTCAAATCATGACAGGCAAGCTGAACAAAAAGGCAAAGCATGTTCTAGTAAACCAAGATTGTTTTCTGAATGAGCAGCTGAGGACCAGAAGAGGAAGGCACTTTAAGTAGCTGAAACAGCTGCCCTGCAAAGAAGACTTTCTGAATTGATAATTTTCTTGCTGGTAGGAAATATGTATGGAAGTCAGCTTTAAATTGAAATTAGAAATCTTTCCTTTAAAAGCAGGGGTGATATCACTGAGGAGATGGAGCATTACTGACCTAGAAGCAACAGCTGCATTGTCTCCTGTTCTTCACCGTACATAATCCGGCATGACATTGCTTAGATTTTGCAATGGAGGTTTTTAATAGTTCCACTGCAGGTTTTTGCTGTGGCAATGAGCCCGTCTGTTGTTCCACCATGCAGCTGCCTTGTTAGAGCACAGAGAGCGTATTAGGGAGTTACACTCAACTGTGCAGCTGAAGGATGGCTGTAGTGAGGCTGCTTTGTAAGGATATTGGTAAATCTCAAAAAACTCGCATGTTCTCATTCTGTTAAATCTGTTAGATTCAATGATTTATGCTTTCGTGAGAAGTGGAACAGCCATTCATAGGGCTAATTTTAATTTGAGTTTTAAAATGACTACTCATGAGCTTGAAAGTGGTAGAGAGAACAGGATTTTCTGATCCTCTGCTTTTCTGAGCAGCAAGGTTGAAGCCATTTCTGCTCCTTCTGGAGAAGGTATCATCCATGCTCAAAGCGATCGGTTGGGTCCATTGTTGACTGACTGTCTTGTGGTATTGTTGGCCTCAGTGACCAGCACCTCAGCCCACCTTTCAGAGATATTGTCTGAATTACACTGGCTTCAGTTCAATTAATAAGATCCACGGAGTCTCTTGTGAAACTCAGATATGAAAGTACTGAGAATCAGTAGCCATTTTCTGAGCTGATCCTGGTCCCTTCTGTGTCTTACAAAACACCTCCTAAGGCACATGCAAGAAATCTGAGGACTTTGAAAGTCTTCAGCATTATCACCACTTTGAGAGGCTGCTGTGCTATCGCAGAAGCAGACACGTCCATCTTTTGAGTGCTGGTTCTTTCACTGCTGTGATGTGCTGAGCTGTTGGTACCTCACACTGTTGCTAAGCATGTGCAGAGTGTATTTTGTGGAGAGCCAGCCCATGAACAAACTGTAATTAAGCTACAGCTGCCAACCTTTATTTCAGAGTAACCTTTCCTTTTCAGAGGACTTCCCTGGTTTGGCCCAGCTCTCTTGCTCTCTGTTTTGCAGCATGTTGGCGTGCTGCATTACAACCATGGTGTCAGGATTTTCTCTTTCATTCTTTCATCTCTGCCCAAATGGACTTTTCCAGTTCTCTAGCCATCCCTCTGCAATTGCAATGCTCACCAACAGTGTCTGTAGCCTGATCAGAGGGGATGTTCCGTCTGCTTCTGGGTTTATAGTATTAATTTTAAATGGTCATAGTCTTCTGACAATTATTTCTGACAGCAGCGCTTACAAGGGGGGAAGATCGTAGGAATAGTGTTTGCTGCTTGCTTCTGCATTTCCTTCTGAACAGAATTCAGAAGATGCAAATGGTTTAGCATGAAACCCCATACCCGTTATATCAACCCTGTAATAACTAGAGAGATCTATCATGGGTTTCTGTAGCATCCCATGCCAAAGCTTCTGTGATTCCTTCAGTGAAGTGCTAAATCAGTGTTTGAGCTTGCTTAATGCTTAATATGCTTAGCTTTCCATGTGTTTTTATGCTTTGTTGAACTAAAGATTTAGTTAAATCCTATAAAACTTAAAGCTCAACAACCGGTGGAGCATCTCTACAGCTAACTAGTCATCTAAATGATGCCAGAGGTTGCCTTGCAGAGGGTTTAGGTTACTGTTCAGAGTGCAGTGCTTCCCAGTTCTGTGCAAGCGCATGGTTTTATTGAACATGTGCTAGTGTCAGTAGTGGTGGGAGCAGGAAATGACTAGTAGTCTTCCATCTGGGATGAAAAATGCTGTGTTTATTCATAGATCTTCCATATATGCAGAATGGTGGAAATACTCACAGTGCTGCTTGCCCCAGTTCCTTCGTGATTCTCCTAACACAGATATCCAGCAACTGTGAAATGCACTCTGCTCCTTACAGACCGGATGGCATATGGTGCTACCATAACTGCTGACAAAATGGTCTCCTGACTTATAGTCCAGTGCCTTTTGGCTGACAAACGTGAAGGAAGATGTTCTGAGATACTGGAGAGCTTTTATTCATAAAAATCAGTAGCTTAAACATAGGAACACTTGTCCCAAACTTGCTGCTTTTTGAGGTGAGAATTGAACACTAAACCAAAGCCAGCTCATGGAAATAGGTTTGTATAAAAAAGACTCCAACAAACCCACAAAAAAAACAAGCAGTTGAGTGGAATACAGTGTCCCTTGGCTTGCATTTGAGGGCTAGGAATTTCCACATGTCTGCTCCAGTCTTCCAGAGAATTGTTTTGTAATTCTAACTGGGGTCTTTTTCAAAAAGGCTCTGGAAATACCTGCTCTAGGGTGGGGTGAATCTTCAAACAATGTGCTGATCTGAATTTACCGTGCAGCATTATTTTGTAAAGGTAGCCAGCCAGAGATGAGTGGGAAGCCCTCAGGCATTGCTTTAGATGGGCAAACTTAAAATAACAACAAGGACATTAAAATTAAAGAAGATGACAAAACCTCTTTTTATAAAAACAAGCCAGGCTCTAAGGGGTCAATCTGCAACTCTCTAGGGTCATCAGTGTTACTTGTTATGGTATTTTCTGAATAGCAGGAGGACAGATACTGAAACTGTGCCTCTGGTTTGTGATATACAACCAAGGGAATACTTGGATGAGCAAGACTTTGTACTTTTGCAGGTATTCAAGAGGAGGTATTTTTACTTGTCACAACTCACAGATGGCTCCTATATTCTTAATTCCTACAAAGACGAGAAAATTTCAAAAGAATCCAAAGGCTGTATTTTCTTGGATGCTTGCAATGACGTTGTTCAGGTAGGTGTGCTTTCTGCATGGCTGTACTTGAACTTATGCATTGCTAGCTCTGAGACAGACATGCTCTCGAGGTCTGTACCATGAAGGGGTGAAGGCATGGATTTAAAAACTAACCGAGAGCTGGTTTGTTCTTATAGCTAATCTGATTAGAAGGCATGCATGGTGTTTCATAAGGGTGCCATACTTTTGGCCAGGAAGACAGCACGTGAAAGAACTACTGTCAGAGTAAAATGGAATCATTTCATCGTTACCTCATCTGCTGCCTTCCTGCTCTGTCCGTCTTGTTTACCTGGTTATCGTAGGTCAGGTGCCTTCCAAGACACCCTGATGCTCAAAGCCAGTAATTGGTGTGACTTAGTCTTGGGCACCTTCCTTCTCTTGTTTGTTGCTCGCACCAGCTTCTTGTTTCTTAAGTTACATCCTAATAAGTCCATGCAAACATTCAGCCCTTTGGGACTTAAGACCTGAAAAGGGCTTGTAAGGTTTTAGGAGGTGTTTGCATAGGGCTTAAATCTGGGTTTGCTTTGTTATGCTGAGAGTGAAGTGCAGCAGTGGACTGCTGCTGTGCCTTGTGCCGTTGCTGTCTGTGCAGAAGCTTCAAGCACCAAGTGTGGTGTAGCTGGTACAGGGCAGCTTAAATTACCGTGGCAGTTTGCTTCAGCATGCATGAGTCAGAGCTGTGCATTTCCATTTATCTTTCCGAACACAGTAAAAGCAGTAGTGCGCACACCTCAGTAATGCGCAGGATGTACTTCCCAAGTTGCATCAGGATTGCCTTGGCTTCTGATTGGAAAATGCTGTTTAAAGGCCAGCAGAGCTCAGAAAAGTTGAATTGAACCACTTGCTCTTAAGATAGATGCCTCTAAGTGTCCTGGAGTGCAACATTACTCACTGTGTCAGACAAATGCAGTTCCTGGCTTCTTTGGGTAAATATTAAAGGTCTGATGACATAAGAAGGAGCTTGGTCCTCAGTGCAATGTCTGTGGTTCAGTCTGGCTTTCTTCCACTTTTAGAGCAGCTGGCAACCACGGAGCGTCATACTGCTTGATTGCAGCTGTGAAGCCCTTTGTGATCACTGTAGGAGAGGCACTGTGTCAACGAGGGTGCTTGCATTGTATTTCATGGTATTTCAGTTCAGGATGCTTTCACAGAGAGGAGCCTTATGGCTGGTACTGTGCTGAGTTGTTGAGGAAAATGTAATACAAATCTTTCTCTTTCTTATTTGTTTAGTGTCCTAAGATGCGCCGTTATGCATTTGAACTGAAGACGATAGACAAGTACAGCCACTACCTTGCAGCTGAAACAGAGCAGGAGATGGAAGAGTGGCTGGTAACTCTGAGAAAGATCATTCAGAGCAATACTGAGAGTTTGGTGCAAGAGAAGAAAGATACTGTGGAATCTGTGCAAGGTCAGTTTATAAATAAATACCTACCTTCACCTTTCTCCAGCAGGAAGCAAGTAGTCTGCCTGGAGAAGCATATACTTTTCTTTCTGGATTAATGGCAAGAATTGTGGCTGATATATGATATCATGCAAAAGGGCTTAGTATAATGTAGACAATAGGCTGAGCAGTAAAAGTGGAGGAAACACGACCCTTCGTCTAGATGGGAAATCCATGGCAAAATTGCAAGACTCCTGGAAGATTGGCTCTGTGCTGAAGTTCTGCTTTGGAAAGGCCTAGCAAGATGTAATAGTATACTCTGGTACTAGTAATGTATAGAAAAATCTTACTCCTGAGGAATGGAAAAGTCTCCATAAACTGTTTCTCTGCTATTGTATGAAAATATTGCAGGATGCTTTCTGGCAGAGCGGTGCTCCTGCAGTTCTTTTGAACATCTGGTTTCTGTGTCCTTGCAGATGATGAATCAAGCACGCAGGGAAAATCAGAGAATATCCTGGAGAGCCTGGAGAGAAGCATGCATCCGGAGCTGATGAAGGTATCATGTTTGCAGACATCACTCTCCCAGCCTGTAGCTAGTTCTCTCCACCATGTCTTTAAAAGGGGTTTTCCACATTTTGCATCTTCAGCTCTGGGGGAGCTGGGCAGGCACCAGGTGCTGCTGGGGTCTCTGTTACCTCGTCTGCCTGTCTCATGGATGGAGCTGCATGGTTTGAGGCTGCATGCTCCTCACTTCTAAGTGTGGGGCCCTTAAGGAAGAACCAGCGAACAAAGTTGTTATTGGTACTGCGTATTCCTGCTCAGCAGGGGTGACCATCCTGGCCATGAGAGCAGAGGGTCAGTTAGGTGGCAGCCACCTCCTGGTTATGATCCAGAGTGTGGTTGCCTACTTCTGTCTGCTTTCTTATTTGGCAGAACCACATTGCTTTACTGTCATTGCGCCGTCTTGGTAACTACAGCTGAGAAGCCTTGCATCGTCTCACATACCACAAAGGGAACCTGAAAAATATTTTATTTTATTTTGTTTCGCTTCCATTCTTTCCAAATAACAAATGTTTGCCTCTGTGTGGGTAGGCAGTAATATCAAAGCTTTCCTTTGTCCTAGTATGGAAGAGAAACAGATCAGCTGAACAAACTGAGCAGAAATGATGGAAGACAAAATCTCTTTTCTTTCGACCCAGAAGTCCAGGTAAACGTCCCCATGTTTGCAAATGCAAGGTTTTGCTCTCTGCAGGAGCTCCCTTGGTGTCGTGCCTCCCCTATTCCCTTGCCATGGCCACAGCATTCACCTCCAGAGGCAGTGTGTTCTTCCATGGATGGGAGAATAAAAGTGCAGCCCATGTACCTGTTAGTGAGAGCTGAACAAGTTGTCAATGCTCAGGTGATAAATAAAGGGAGGACTCGCAGGAGCCCCACACATGGCCTCCCTCCAGCTTTGCTGGCTTCTGTGTGATGCATCTTGATGTTGCTGGATTTCAAACCCATCATCTGGGCCTTTGGGAGGTTCTCACGGCTGCAGAAGCAGTGGAAGTGGTTATTGCAAGGGCACCTGCAACACTGCATGGGCTCAGCACATCTGGAATAGGGAGCAGTGATGTTACAGACCATGATAGGGGTTTACAGGGAAAGCCTCAGTCTTCAGGGAGTTTTCAAATGTAGGGGACATACAAAGAGAAAAAACACCCCATGCTGGTCTCATGCACTGGAGTAGAGCTTCATTGACTATTGGTTTGTTTTATTTTTGGCTTTGTCTTTGCTGAGCTGTCTGCCAAGGTCCAAGTGTGAGATTTCAGTGCAATGAGCTGCAATTGTTAACACAGTTTTAGAGAATTGTTCCAAGTTATTTCATAGTTCCTGTTTCTCCTTCTGGCATGCTTTGGCTTGTTCACGCCTGTGAAAAAGAACATTCTGGTTTAACAAGGGAATGTAATTAGCCTTTAAAAGCTTTACTTGTACAAAATGAGCTTTTCTCTTGTCAATTCTCTAGGGCCTTTAACAGGAACAAGATAAGCATCCAGGAGGCTTTGTTGTTTTGTTTGTTTTGGGTTTTTTTAAAAGAAACTTTGTGAGGTTTCCTGTATTCTACAGATAATAAAAATGGAAATATTATTCAGTGCAGAGCATCTAAGATTTTTTTTCTTTTTACCTAACCAAATGTTTAGGCTGAATTCACTGTCCTCCCTCTATATCCAGAGGCACTTTTCATTCTGGTGTGGGTCAGCCAGATCTGCTGTAACCCTGGTCATTCAAAATCACTGCCCCAGTCAATGCTGGTGGGTACGTGCACACTTGTATGCCTGGCGCTAAGGAAACTGAGAGCAGGAACATACACCTGCAATGTACTTTCCTCGTGGAAAGGGAATAGAGGAAACAATGGGAAGAGTTTCCCAGAACAGGATTAACAATTGCAGCCTATTTTGCTAAAGTTACTTGATTGTGAGATATAAGTGCCCGAAGTTTGGCATGCAGGTTTCTGCAGGATTTGAGGGGGAAAACCAAATAGGACTGTGCCAGGTTGTCACTGAGACACGTGCTGGCATTTAGGGGTGTTTGGTAGCTCTGTGTCCCCAGTGCCCAGTACAATGGGTATGGTGAAGGCTGAAGGTCTTTATCTGACTGATGATATTTTGGTCATGTATGTGTCTGCTCTCTGAGAAGGGCTGATGCCAAGGCACAGACCAGGCATGGGTGTTTTGGGTTAGGAAGGAGCTGATTATAATCAAGACTGTTTGGATTTCCCAGCCAGCTCTGCAGACAGTGTTTGTCGTTTCTAACCACACCAGTTATTGCTGTGCATCTAGAAATGCCTTCCACTTTGCGATGTTGTTCACAATCCCAACGGCATGTGCATTCTCTCTGTTTCAGACACAGGGACCATCTCTTAAACTAGTCAGATCTTCAAAGTGGAAGATACTTTTCTGAGTGTAACGACGACTTATGTTCCGCTTTCTTCCCCAAGCTCTAAATGGTGTTTGGGAAGATACCCAGGGTTACAGCAAAGCAGGAAGGAACTGATATCATACTGAGGTTTAGTTTTCTGTGCTCTACAAACCAGATTGCTAAAAATTGGTGCATCCCCATGAATTCATGTGTTGAATACATTTGTGTAACATCACCAAATGGCACTCATTTGTGAATGTCTTGTACCTTTTTACCACTTAGAAAAAAAAATAAGACAATATTGGCTATAATGTGATCCCTTAACATTATTCATTTTTTTAATGAGACCAAATTTGTTTGTTTGCTGTCTAGAGGCTGGATTTCTCAGGGATAGAGCCAGACGTGAAGCCATTTGAGGAAAAGTGCAGCAGACGCTTCATTGTGTGCTGCCAGGACTTCTCCCTCAACCTCCTCGCTCAGCTCAGCGACAGGTCGGAAGGAAGACCCACCAACGTAAGGGGAGCTCTGGCATGTCCTGCTTTGTCTTCTTTCTCCTCACTGGCAAGAAAAAACGTTAGCAGATTAATCTGGGTGGATGAAAACATCTCATTTTCCCATGAGCTCCAATGGGACCTGAGCAGGCAGTGGCTGCTGGCCCAGGATACATTGCAGTATTCATCTGCCTTGGTACTTCAGTGTTCCAAAACATGTGTTTGGGGACAGAGTCTGTCCTGACATGCCTCAGCCTGCCAGGAACTGGGACTTCTGGGAAACGAACGATTCAGAAGCATGGGGAGCATTTTGGGTCCCTGTGAAAGTCCTGTTGGTAAATGATTAAGCTCCATCTCCAGACCACTCACTGCTGTGTTTTATTTCGTTTCCGCTAATGGCAAGGGATTTCCCTGTTCTGAAACCTTCTTCTAACTCCCAGCCTAACTGTGCTCACAGCCACTTTATTACATGCATTTGTTATTGTGCCAAAGTTGTGCCTTAGCCTAAAAATCTCTTCCTTGTGTTTTCTGAGCCTCTGGTGCCTGTAGACAGCTATTACATCTCTCCTCAGCCTTTGTTCTGCCAGTCTGAACAGACTAGGCTCCTCCAGTCTTTCATCCCAAAATGTAATCCCTACTATCCTGTCCTGCATTTGCTCTGGCTGGAGTCAAGTCGCACTTATAAAGGTATGCAAGGGTACCAGTGCAGCAGATGGCATCGCAGGGGAGGCAATGGCACTGGCACTGTCCAGTCTCTGCTGATGGTCTAATGCCTGTTAGAATTGCAAAGGCTTTTTTGTGATGATTTTATTTTGGCAGCTCACAGCTAGTACACCAGGCTCGATCTCCCCGATAACTCCCAGTAGATGAATGTGTCACTGCTGGCAGAGATTCTTGTTATTCATCCTTAATCAGGCCCAGAGTAAGACCTAATCAGCACATTTTTAGTATTGATGTAATGCCTCCAAGTTATGCTGTAGTGTCTCAGACACACTACAATCTTATCTTTAGGCCTTCACTTTTATCTTTACATGGACACATGCCTGCTAGGATCTTTGAATTAAACATACATGGAATTGTTGCCCCTTGCCTTGTGCTATCAAGGTCAATAGCTACAAACGAGTTGGCAGATTTTGCACATGCAGTTCCTCAGCAGTGTTAGCCTTGTATTTGAGCTCTCCTGCCTGCGAGAGCGAACTATGCTCCTGTGCCACCAGCATATAGCAGCCAAAGAACATTTTGCATGTCTTGCAGTTGGGCCATTCAGAGCTGATTAACTTTGGACAATAAGTGAAGTGGTCTTTAGCATGTGAACATAAACACTCCAAAGTTGATTTCTTTCTCATTGCAAAGGATAAATAGCTCTGATGGATTTGGGTCATCTTTTCTTCCTAACTTTGTAGTTTATCACTTGTATAAAAAGCCTTGTGGATTTCATTCTTTATATTTCATTGATGGTTTTAGAGTAGCTTTGTTCAAATTGACTAGATCAAAGTGCAAGAAGATGCAGGAAAATAATGGGTTTATGTATCTATAAAGCAAATAAACATGGATTGTCTGTAAGGATTCTGTAAAACGCCGGTGTACAAAACTAAAGGAACAAACAGATGCAGAAGGCAGACCTAGCAGGGAAGGCAATGCACAGTGATACTCTTGAGCCTGTACCACGCTTTTTTTTTTTTTACACATATATTCAATCAAATTTTCAGGTTGAGCCCTTTTTCCTAAGCTTGGCATTATTTGACCTGAAGAATAATTGCAAGATTTCAGCTGACTTCCATGTGGACTTGAACCCTCCATCTGTCCGTGACATGCTGCTCGATAACTCTGCGTCTGGAGCGGAGGGCACCAAGGGACATTCCCCAGGCGAGAGCCTTGTGCATGGGGTCCCCGAGTCTTGCCTGCGCCACATAAAACAGGTGAAGAACTGACTTTGTCCTCGTTCTGTACCTCTTTTGAGGCTGTGGATGCTCAGTAGTGTTGGAGTGCGTTATCCACTGTGGGGAGAAACAGAAGCAGCTTTTCTCTTGAGCTGTGGGTCAAGTGTCTCAAGCCAATTGCCATTTTGGGCTCAGTGGCAGTGATAGGCAAAGCACCAGGTAGAGTTTTTCAAGACTGGACTGTGCTCAAGCCTTATTAGCCCCCATGGCCCATCCACAGCAGCAACCAGAACAGGGTCTGCGTGGGTTGTGGGAAGGAACAGTGAGATGACTGGGGCCAAACCCAGCGGTGCAGGTAGGGTGCCCTGCTCTCTGACAGCCTACTGTCTATCTATTGCAGGGAGTTTTCTCCGTGACTGACCCACATGCGGAGATCTTCCTGGTGGCCCGTGTGGAGAAGGTGCTGCAGGGCAGCATTACTCACTGTGCAGAGCCGTACATGAAAAACTCAGACCCGGGGAAGGTATTGCATGGGGCCATGAGAGTATCTGCTTAGTGATGCTGTTCGCTGCTGCAGGGAGTAGTGTGGACTGAAACATGGGTTGTTTCTGCTTCTCTTTAGCTTCTTTCTGGCAAATACCGGTCTTCATCCATTCTGCTATTTGTGCTGTTCACAGGCTGGCTTCAGCTGAGCTGTCCTGGGAGATTCGGTTCCTTCCCCCAGAAAGAGGAAGAGGATTTTTAGAAAGAGCCAAGCAGTTGGGGCAGAGGGACCATTTCCCATTACACTTCAACAAGGCAAAGCCTTGGCTGACAGCAAAAAATTAGGACGCTTCATCCCCAGAGAAATAGGCTGCACTGCTACATGATGCCACGCACAGTGTCTTGGACTGGCCCTGGCTCACTCCTGCTGGGAACAGTGATGTTTTAGTAACAGCAGAACATAGGCTTCACCCTTTATTCTGCTTACTTTTCCTCTATCTTGCTCCATACAGAGTGCCATGATCATATGGGGAAACTGATGCAAAGGGTGGTCAGGGACGGGCCTTGGTACTGCTGGCATCAGTTTCTGCATGCCAGGCAGAGCTGATGCTGTCTTGCTGCAGCCAATCCAAATTAATCCCTGGAAAATCAATGTATGGAACACGTAGTATGTGATGGCATTCCCTCAGCACACTTTGTAAGTCTGTATAGGATGAGGCAATTACAGTCAGTTTTGGAAAATAAACTAATAACCTTTGGAAAACAAAATACTAATATCCTGACAGTTTAATGCAGAATCAAGAGGAGCTTTGATACAGCTGTGCCGACAACATGTTTCCTATTGCTTTGCAAATGTAATAAATGTGGATGGTGTGAAGTGACAGACGGGGATGTCTATCAGCTGCTTCAACGACTGCTGCCTGTGTGCCTGGGGAGCTGTGCGTTGTGGAGTATGAGAGTTTCTTCTCCCTGGAGAATGCAGCGGTCTTTACTCCTTTTCCAGGACAGTGTGGAAGCTGTGGCACACACTGACCTCTCTTGTGTTTTGCAGACTGCCCAGAAGGTCCATAAGGTGGCCAAGCAGGTGTGCAGCCGTCTGGGGCAGTACAGGATGCCCTTTGGGTGGGCTGCCAGGTGAGTCACCTCGGACTGCGCTTTGGCTGTGGCAGGAGCTGCTGCTGCGAGTTATCCAGGACACGATCTGGCTGAGCGGGCGAAGGGCCAAGTGAAGTTGCAGCCGAGGGCAGGATCTGGCTCCAGTTCCCAAGCTGAATGGGGACTGGCCTGAAATGCTCTATCTAGAATTAGAAACAAAATACTGAAAAGTAAACAGTGCTGGGAAGACAGTAACCTTCCTG